ACTCGTGAAAAAAATCTGTGCATTTGTTATAGGCTAAGCACAGTGCCACAAAGGGAAGCCATAACTTCTCCTTATTGCCTTTGCGGCTGATATGCTTCTTGAAATTTCATATTGAAGTTTCGTTCAATACTCACTGTTCCTTCTAAATTCTATAGCAATTCGAACGCATCCACAAGTCAATATTATCACCTACAGCTTGAGAATAACTGGTACGAAATAAAAGAAATAAAGAAAAGATTCACGAATTGATGCATTCATCGGACCTACCTGGTTCGAACAGGCGACCCCAAAATTGGACGTTACGAAATACATTGCACTTCCAACTGAGCCACAAGTCCAATATATAACACAACTATCCTTCACAATGATCCTACCATGGCCAAAGTCGTCCTTCCTTTATCGTCCTGAATGACGGCCGCTAAGAAGCATCCCCAATCGGTTTACCTATAAACTCAAAAGAGAGCATCGTTGAATGCCCACCAAAAAACGAATCCACTAGAGTAGAGCATCTACCGTCGCCCGCAGTCGACTAAAAGAGTACCAATCATATCGGCCTTCGAAAGAAAAAAACACAAATTGCTTCATAACATTTAAGGCTAGCCAGACCTGCCATACATGGTAAACTTCTTTCATAAAGCAGTATCTAATCTATATATACAACAGTTCTAGTCTCCGTGGCTACTTGCTAGTCTCTCAAAATTGCACTTCTGAGAGCTGTGTGTTTAGCAGACTGTTTAACTACTGCATAGACACCCTCGAGTCCCGTTTCAATAGTGGTAGGATATTCTCCATAAAACCTGTCCCAAAGCCGTTTAAAGGCATTCTCAACGCTTTCATCATCCTGTGGCTCAATGAAGGTATCCAAGATTCCCATAAGACAATAAGCCTGATCTGCTGGTTTAGTTGTCATTCTGCCCATAGCCCAAGTCATTCGATCTGTGCGTGAAGCGGCAGATAGTGCTTTTTTTCCTGTTAGGATATCGCAGGGGATTGAAGTTCTATCTGAAAGAACCTTCTGCAAGGTCAACTTGGTCCCAATAAAGTTCCAGGTTTCACCAAAAAAACGAACATCTTCCGGTGCTATTAGTTCCTGCAAAGTCCAGCCTCGACAGAACCAATCACTGAGACAAACATGATAAGGGTCCAAGCTGCAGGAATGACGGAAGGGTTGGTCCTTGAAATAATAGATAGAGCAATCTTTAGATCTAGAGAGGTCTTGATTGGAATGTGCCTTGTCCCTGCAACAATACTCCTTGTCCCCCACATCAAATAGGTGCACATAGCATACCGCTGCATTTTTGTAGAAGGCAAACATGCTTTGAATGTCTCTGGAACGTTTGGTTGGATTCTTGCTTATGCAGCATGTGTCGGCCCAAAGGTATTTGTAACCATCAATCCTAGCTTGATGACAGGCTTTCAGTATCTTCTGGTAGCCTATCCGGTTTTTCGTCTCCTCCAATGCAAAATCCTCACTGCCATCTATCTCTTCTTGTCTCCACCGGTGGGAAAGAATAGCATACGGAGGATTAGCATGACCTTGGGATAGAGAGACAAGCTGAATTGTAGTGGTGTCTATGAGACATTCTGGATATTGAAGTTGTGTAGTCTGGACATGAAATTCAAATAATAAATTATCAGTGTAGATTTTATTGACAACCTTAAACCTACCTGTGATACAGTATCATTTTTTTTGGATAATGCTTGTTCAAGCCATGCCAGAAGCCCTGTATAATTAGCAAAAAGTGTGGGGAGGCCTGTATAATGGGCAACAAGTACGGGGATAGCAAGTAGAGCAACAAATAGAGCAGCAGGCAGATAGACATGGAAGATAAAGGGGATCATGTCAATCCATGCTGAGACCCATAGAAGTGGGGTTAAATATTGAAATGAGGAGGATGGAAGCAGCAATAGCACCTCCGACAATACATCCAGTAATAGACAGGACCATGCATAGATTTTCATGCTCTTCCTTCTTTGGTGAGAGTAAAACTTGTTGAATGATTCCCCCCCATATGTGATGAATTGCAAAACTTTGTATCCTGCCCATAGACCCCACACTACAACACGCGCAAGGACCCGCACCCCGAAATATGAGAATGGGGAGAGATTGATTCTAGGGATATTGGATTGCAGCATTGCATTGACGCTGCCTAGTGACAGTTCAAAGCGGGGAATCTCTATGCCTAAAACGGACAGAGATTTTCGCAATAAGGCAAAAAAGAGTTTTAGGAATGACCATAACAAGGTATCTGAAATTCCAGAAAGCGACCATCGAAATGATTCCCAAATATCGGCAAGTCGTTGGCAGAGATAGTAAGAAAACATGCGTAAAAGTATGCGCCGGAACACAAGGTCCAAAAGATAGAAACGCATTGATTCCTGGGGGTTAAACTGCGATCCCGACCACCAGGCCAAACCCAGGATTACCGCAATGCCAAAAAAGGGAACGAGGGGCAACGGTAGGTCAAATTGTTCGGTATCTGAAGTATACGTTTAATAAGGACCAACAGTTCTGAGAAGTCTACAGACTCACCAGAGTCTGACTTTGGCAACATAGAGAGATTTTTTGCTTCATTCATGGTCAGATTTTTAACATGAGCATTTTGACCTGCTAAAAAATATTGACTTCTTTTGACGACAATAGCCAGTGAAAGGATTGCAAATCCTAGAGCAGACCAGTAGATGAAAGGAATTTGGTGATGATGAAAGATAGCAAGGAGCATTGAGCAAACGACTACTGAACTAGGCAAATCTGCCTTTTTGCGGAGAATGGATATGTGAAAACTAGAGCGAATAATCAGTAAAAGAAGGACAGGCCAGATTGGATTTCATACAGTGTTAAAAAGACAAGAATCTTTATTTTCGTCCCAATGACTGTTATGTCGTCGGTGCCAAAGGTCTTAAAGATCATCAGCATTGTTATCATTCTGGTCAAGTTCTTGTAGAGGGAAAGAGGGATATAGATCAAGAGTTGGCTGAGCAGCTCGTCATAGAAACACTGGGCTTTGTAATGATTTTTTGCGTGCTGAACAAAGTCGGAGGATACACTGGAAGCATAGAAGGCAAAAACAAGGGACATGATATGATCGTGATTGGCGAGCAAGCCCATTAGAAAACCATTTAAGATGGCTAAACAAGCAAAGCGCCAAAAGAGCACATCGATAATGAGAACTTTTCCCTGAGGAAAAAATTGATAAACCATAGCTCCCGCTAAAAGAATATTCATGAGAGACCTAAATATATAACTCAGAATTGATACAACCATTGAGAAATCAAGATATTACCAGGAAATAAATGCCCATGGTGCTGGTGTGATGTATGTAGGACTTCCTTTTGTAACGATGTAAATATTTGATTCATTGCCCAAAAACAATGAACAATATAAAATAGTGTTTATGGTCTAGAAATTTTGAGTAAAAAATTTGGGGCTTAGAGAGCACTAGATAGTTGGGTACCTCCAAAATGTCTGTTCAAAATTATAGAAGTTCAGTTAAGCACTTGTAAGTATGATTACATTTCTCCTTACGAGAGGAAAAGAATGATCCTAGCTGGGCGCCTACAGAAATAAAATTCGTTATACTCGCGGCAAACTGAATAACTGACAGGAATAAGTACGCATGTGCTGGGACATTGTGATATATATCACCAGGTAAATTGTCTGCCAGAAGTTGGAGCCGGAAAATAGCGTCAAGGAGTAAGGAAGCAGGCAAGCCCACGACACTTATGCTTAAAAGCTTGTCGTATGGCTAGGCCCTATGCCTTTTTATGATCGGTCAGTACGTGTGTAACACACGTGCTCAGCAACCATGAAGGAGCAGCGAGTAGTGGGGCCTTCATACATGTAATTCCGGGTCAGATTGTAATTACTGAGATCTCGGGCTTCTATCATATTGCATGTTCTATACTGAAACAGGGACCCTGTATCCCCGTAAATTTTGCGGCCATACCTGCCAAACGGTATGCAGATCTTATGATTTTATTATTTTAACACGGTACTCGAAATATTTCGTTAGATACTGCTTCAAACATAAACCTCCATTACACGATTACAATGCCGCGGTTTAAGCTTGAACTTACCCATTTGATTTTTATGATCGATGAGTTTGTGAATGTGTAACACATGTGTACTACACGTACTCAGTAGGAGACTGAGCATCATAGCTGCTAAACAATGAATATTAATGAAAATGCCCGATCAGATTGTAATTACTATGATCTCGGGCTTGCATGCTCTATAATTACCCTCAAAACAGTACACAGACTACGCACCCTTAGATCATTGTTTCTTACGATCTTGGCACAGTACTTGAAATGTGTCGTTCGGCACTACCTCGAACATAAAACTCACGATATTTTTGGACTTTTTCGACTGTATAGGCATTAAAATACTCAAAGATACTTGCGGAATGGCGTAGTGACTCTTCCAACAGTACTGATACCTGGTTTTGACTCTGAGCTGATCCAACTTTTGTCCTGTTTTTTTTTTTGCTAGGCTTCCGCTTGCGGCGGGGCATTTTTGTCCGGTCCTAGATCAAGCTTTTCGCCAAAGATCCGTGGACAGACCTTCCCCACACATAATGCGGGGTCCTGTGCCTTACTGATAAAGCTTAAAGCTAAAGACCACCAAATGAAATCCGGCATTTTATAATCATTTGAAACACAAATACATACCCACTACCTCTCGACTCTTTTGTAGCCTATAACCCGACGAATTTGAATTTAATCCGAGTTGCATTTAGGAAAAAGATGTTGACAACTGGATGCTTGGAGAGCCCGAACTGTAGGGCTTGATCATGTCGATTAGAGTGAAATTACTATCCAAGTCGAATCTCAAGGTGATGAGGATGCATTCTTTGATGAAAGAGAGAGGAATAGCAACAAGCTGCGCTTTATACCTGAACAACGGAGAAGAAGTGGGCATAGGCCCGCAATCGATGTTGAGATCCTTGAGTGCAAAGATACATGTTGCAAAAATATGCGCTCTTGAAAGATACTACCATTCCGACCTGCCTGGTTCGAACAGGCGACCCCAAGATTGATTTGCCAGGTTTCCTATTACAGTCTTGTGCTCTTCCAACTGAGCTAAGGTCGGTGCGATGTAGAAGGAGGGTACAGAGTGGTGTTGTGTTCGGACTAAATGAAGCCGCGACAGAAATACACTGCGTGCCTAGCAGAAACAGAAAGAGCCCATCGGCCGAAGATACGACCATCGTTTGGACGCTAGAAGAAGGATAGCGAACCGAAAATAGCAGATAAGAACATGTTCCGAAGATGATGGAGAAATGGAGAAAGGTTGTTTTGTTACGTCATCACCGGTTCACCTCCAACCCTCATTTCGATTACGGTTATGGCAGGGAATTCGGAATGGAGGCCAGCTGATAACACAACCCCGCTCGCCTCGTCTTCCCACCCGTCCTACTCCTCCAGTAACATCCAAAACAGACGCTCCGTCTCCTTTTCCCTCCCAAATCCTATAAAACGCATGTCCGAACTCGTCGAGAAAGCCAACCAAAGACCATCCCCGCCTCAAGTCTCGCCTCCTCCGTCTTCGCCGACCGCTGCCGATGACACTGTAGAAGGGGTCGAAGAAGTCATGTCCAGTCCGGGTGCCATTGATGAACCTCCTGCTCCCAACCCAATACCTCCCTCGACTTCTTCCATCCGACAACGCAAACGTAGCGTTGTCTGGAACCCTTCTCTCGTCCTAGAAAACTCTGGCTCTGTTGCACGAGACCACCTCGCCTCTGAACGCACGTTCCTTGCATATGTCCGTACCAGTCTCGCAATAGCTTCCACGGGTGTAGCACTCGTTCAGCTGTTTACCATCTCGGTCCAGTCGAATTCGGGGAACCAGTTGATAGCAACAGCATTGTCAAAGCAAATCCAAGTGTTTGCAAAGCCTCTAGGATCTGCGGCGGTTTGCTTTGGGATTTTGGTTCTGCTTATAGGTGCGTGGTTGTATTTGTCGGTTTTGAGTAACTGGAGCTAACCAAGACTTGGTTTATAGGCACGACCAGGTACTTTACAGTCCAATCCGCTCTTACTCAAGGAAAATTCCCCGTTGCACGTGTGGTCATTGCCGGCATGGCGTTTATACTGGCGTGTATCGTCATTATCGTTTTTGTCATATTGGTCTCTGGGAAGCGGTAGCAACGCGCTTGCTTTGACCGCGTTACCGCTACGTATAAAATCCTCTCCTCGTCCTACCCTACTCTACCATTCCCGTCAATGACCTTCATGTCATATACACTCCCCCTTTGGAATACCCTTTAGACGACACTCGGACTCGGACTCGGACACATGTATCATTATTTACCATTACGACTCTTACCTGATTCTGAATACACATACCAGTATCATTCATTCGTATCCCGCACAGCCAACGATAGTCCACTACTTTCTATAGAACTTTAAGCTATAGAGTCCGTGTTTCTTCACCCTTCCCTGGCTCTACTCGGAACCCCAGTCTCCTTGAGCGTTTGTACCGACCTTAGCCCAGATGGAAAAGCATGAGACTGTAAGTGGTTGGATTGAACTTGTCATCTTGAGGTCGCCTGTTCGAGCCAGGCAGGTTGGATAGTGACAGCATCACGTGTTTTTTTTTTGCTCAAAATGGTAGACACTTTTTTTGTCTTTGCAATTTGTAGAATACGCTTCGGATCTAATCTTTAAGAGCAAGCTTTACTGGCTAGATGAATGCATGATGTTATCCTCTTAATTCTTGGGATCGCCAGTTCCAACTTGCCACTGATTTATACCGAACTTGTTCAGTTGGAAGAGTGCCTGCTCTCCTGATGTGATCGTACCATTGCCTATTCAGATCCCCTCAAAGGTCGAAATACTTGACGGTATACATTGAACCTTTTTTTTTTTCCTTTTCTGATTTTCTACTTGAAATATCATATGCCACGGAAACCGAAGCAAAAATAAATCGCGGAACTTTGCCCTGTTTTTAGCATCCGCGCGGAACTTTATGTCATTTTTTTGATCCAGCCGCACACTTGCAGTGTGACGTGTGACTGGGTTTTCATCGCAAACTTATTTTTAGTCACAAGAAATTTGTGCTTTGTGCTGATATAGAAATTAAATCATTATTATTATACACTCTATGCCGAAATTCAGGCATATGGACAGCTGAACTGGTAAACTCTTCCTCCATGGTTGCTGTTCTAGGTGCTGATTTTACCACATTAATATGGGCTACACATGTAAAAATGAATCAATTTTTAAAAGTATGGAATACCTATTAGATAGAATAAGTCAGCTAGAAGTAAGTTTCATCAGACTGCATTTTTGCAATGCAAAATTCAGACATTTTTATTTAATAAGAAATGACTTGATATTTATTTAGACTTTGAGGATATCACAAATCTTATACTCACCTGTTATAGATTGTGTTTAGAGGAGGAATAAAGCTTGAGAGAGCTTAGGTTGAGTAGAAGAGATGCTTGTGAAACAAAAAGACATTGTTAAGTCTGACCTGTAATGGTTCAGACAAGCTACCTTATATACAGATAGGACTCTATTATAGTGGAGCTATGGTATCATAGTGGAGTAATGACTTCAGTACGTAGTCATTGTGGAGCAATGACCTCAATATGTGGTCATAGTGGAGCAATGATGTCAATAAGTCATCATTGTGGAGTAGAATACGTCAATATAGACCATATATCACATCATCCTGCCAAGAATGATGTAATTGGGTGTTTGACCAATTGTCATGAATTGGTCTTGCTTCTTTTACTTTCATCACTATTTCCACTACCTTGGTTCTAGATCACAGATTCTGAGACATATGGTTTCCATCTTTATGATATATCATTCTCTGATTGACAGATCATATCTGTTATTGCACATATTGACATCTCTTAGATACATGATTATCATTCTATGGTTATTTCCATCAGTATCTTCTGATCTACCCTCGTCTTATTGTACTGTTTACATATATACTTCATAGCTCTGTAGATAGGCCCCCAGCTTGACCTCTTGTACTCTGCACACTTGTACTTGCCCTAGCTATGTTGCTTATTGATATTTCTTGCTGATTGTGCAGCCTCCTGACATTAGGTCAAGCTCTCCTACTGCACTGGCAACTGCTTTAGGATCTCCTGTGCTCAGTTGCCCCTGCAGGCTTTGTTACAGCCCTGGTCATGCCCATGTCTCCTTTGTTGGAAAGTCTTACGCTTCCGACAAGCTTAAACTAAAGCACGTGATTATTTTACATAAACAAATATTATGTGCTTATACCTCAGATTAATATCGTTCATTACTATGTCATAGATAACAGAGATACTTTAGCTATTGTAAATACTCATGTTATCCTCATGTATGAGAACTAGTACTAATCCTAGTACATCAGTATATACTTGTACGGTCCGATCCTTAGTATACTGATTTCAATCGTCCTGTAGCAGTAAACACTTTTATCATAGCATACAATCCTTTTATATCTAGACAGACAGTATAAATACTGTAGTAGAAATTGTACTTTGGTAGATCAGACAATCCAGTCTAATCTTTCTGCATCCTCTACTCTCAAGTAGTTTTCGCTGTTACTCTCAGTAAGTATGCCCTGAACATCTCACCCTGCGTTATGCTGCTCCCTGTTTGTCAGGTTATGGGCCCCGACGACCGACGACTCTAGTCAATCTCCATGAGCTATTACAGCCACGGTAGATTGTGTTATCCAATGTTGGGACCCTCCTTGCTGAGATATTTTACTCAGTGGATGTCGTGTGTGCCTCATGTGTTGATTATCGGATATATCACTTGGTAACCCTTCTTTATAATCACTGGTTCTTTGAGTCAGTGAAAAGATAAACTGCTCACTCTAACTCCCTTCGAACGCCGTCATGACCCAGACGAACCAATGTCTGATTTTGCACGCTTCAGCATTCTCCACTTCAGTGTGGGTTTGCTTTAATGCACTTCGGTTCTCCTGTGGTCGTCATGCTGCAGTAGACTGGGGCGTTTACAGAAGTATTGCTGGATCCTCTGACGAGCACCTCATTATGAATACGTATTCACATTTTGTACATCGTGTGCTCTAAGAGTTCATGTCTATTTGTTGACTGTTGGAAAACTCCCTGTTCAAGGATGAGTTCCCATGGAGTTTTAGGGAAGACTGCCTTAGACACTGGTATTACTTTGAAGGTGCTGTAAATCCCCTTGGTCATTGACCATTGAGGTTGCGTAAATCCTTTGGTTTTACGAGATAGACAGGCTGGTCTTTACACCAAACCTATTACTGTGAAGGGGAAGCAGTCTTTACTGCCCTATGCTCACCAGATTACACGGAGTGGTTAAAAGAGAGTACTGGCAACAAAAGACCTTCAATCTGCACATCGATTTCTTTTAGAATACTTATTCCTGCTAAGCTTGGGGGGTTGTGGACCAAGTTAGCATTTCGACTCTCTATCCAATATGATGATATACTGTGATTGCCATACTTCATGAAGATAACCACTGTTGTTGCTCGTTGAGACTCTTAACCTTGAATATCGCATCTTGAATAAGATTGCTGATTCAGTTATCAGATCTCCAAAATGTCTTCCAACAACAACTCCACCTGGTCTCACCTTGCGACCCTTGACACTCGCAACTGGAAGAAATGGTCTCAGCTCATGAAGGCCTATCTCCAATCCAATGAGTGTTGGGAAGCTGTCGAAAAGACCCAGGATGAATACTGTGGTACTTCTCCTCAAGGTAGAGTGGTTCATTATCCTGCTGTTCTTGCACAAGCTGCCATCGCTCCACAACCTGCTGTACCTGCGCGAGCTGCAGTACCAGAAGGTCCATGTCAACAAGCCCAACCAGCTGTTGAAGGTAGACCAGCTGTACAAGGATCTCCAGCTCGTACTGAAACAATTCCTCCTTCAGCTTCTGAAATGGAATCTTACAATAAAAAAGTCTCCAAATATACCAAAATGAATGGGAAAGCTTGAGGACTCATTCTTTCCAAAGTTTCCATGGACATGTACCAATATGTTAAAGAAAATGCTAAAGATGCTTGGAACGAACTCAAAACCAAGTATGGCACCCCTAGCATTAATCTTATTGTCCAGAAACTTGTCAATCTGCTCAAATTTCACATTCCAAACAAATCGAACCCAGTTCTTGCAGTTGACAAATTTAAAGAGTCCTATGACGATATCTTTGAGAAAGACGTCATCGAAATTTCTGAATTAATTCGTGTGGTCTTTGCACTCAATGCACTTCCCAACTCCTGGGATTCTTTCAAACAACAGAAAATGGCAACTGACATTAAAACCCTTACATTCAATCAACTTCGAAATGCCATTTCTGATGAATATGAAAGAAGACGCGCTTTTAATGACCCAAATAATCAGAATATTCAACAAGTTGCTGCAAACGAGGCCAAGTTCTCTGGAATTAAACATGGTTCTTCGAGTCATTCCTGGAGGAATCAACGTGACACTAGTCAAACTCCAGGGAATAACCAGAACCAGGGGGGATTCAATGCCAATTCCAATGCAAACAATAAAGGGAAACAACACTTTCAAAGTGCTCCACCCTCGCAGAATACCTCCAATTCCAATCCACAGAACAAAAACCAAAACAAATCCAAAAAGCCTTACAAAAAATGGAATAAACGTCGAGGACAAGGTGGCCAAGCTGCTAATAATGCTACCATCGATGACCCTGACTTTGGGGAAATTCCTGTGGCTTGCATGGCCTCCATTGACACACCTGATGACCCTTCTGAACTTCCACAAAACGCTTTCGAACCTACCACTTCTTCCAACAATCAGAATCCACGCTTCTACAGTTACTGTATGAATGGACACCTCAATCGCTCTGAAAATGCCACTCATTGCCATTTTGGACATCAAATTCGAGTCCGAGCAAATCGATGGTTGTCCTCTACAGAACGAAGCCACATGCATATTGTTACAAACGTCACTAATCATCCTGTCCAAACTGTTCCATACCAATATCTTATTTCTCCACCTCCTGAAGTTGCTTCTGAAACAGTTCACTATGAACTTCGAAGGCAAAGAACTCTTCATAACGTTCGAGGAACGGGAAGACCCCGTACAAACTTTACTCACCGTCCTCAAGAAAGAGTTCTTACCAGACACGAAGCAAGAGAACATTGGGAACAGAGACAATCGCAAAATAGACTAAACTATCGTTGAAGCATTGAACAACAAGTCGAACGAAGAAATTCTGAAACCAGAACTTCCACGATGCGACAGTTGGTTGCTACATACGCCACTGCTGCTCTAGACTTTACTGACGATGTCTTGCGATTATTCAAAGATGATCTACTTGACGAAGAAGATCGTAACAACATGGATTCTATTTCTCGACAAATTATTCAACTTCAGCATAGAATGGCCACCAGACACTCTACACAACGTCAAAGGCAACCTTCCATAGCTCCCTCCTCATCATCCTCTTCATCCATTCACACAGATGCCCCTGCTCGATTGACAGCAGAAGAATTTGCTGAACTAGAAAGAACACAACAAGAACAGGTTGAACGTTACAACCAAGAAGTCCAAGAACGTGTTGATCGCAATGAGCTTGACTTACAACTTGCTCGGGACA